CCTATTCGAAGGGAAAGATTTATTATTTGTGTAAGTGAAGGGGCAATCTCATTTGCACATTCTTTTAAAATCCGTCCAGGAATTTGATCAGGTCCACTAGCTTTTGAAGGATTAATGGCCTTCAATACAGACAAGATATCTTCAACAGTAACATGTAAATTATGCAATTCGTCAACTCGAGGATGAAACACATCATGATTTATCTCTGTTCCATGGTCATATTTTTGAAAAACGGACGCAAAAAATTTGTTGAACATGTCCGCTTTAGCAGAAGGCGTTGAGGCTTTCTCCCCACTGAGATGAACAATTTTTGGTATCCTGGCTGTTTTTGTTGTGGCTCTGTAAAATGACCAAAACTTACTAGGATTATCCTTTAACTCATCCTGCATAGTTGCGAGATGTTCACGATATTTCTTTTTAGTCAACGTTTTTAGCTGTTTACGAATAGTTCTGTAATTTTCCCAATCACTTGTTAAGTTAGATTTTTTAGCTTTTTTCCACATTCTGTTCTTACACTTAGAGAGATTGATAACATCTCCATCTATCCATTTTGGTGCCTTTGCATCTCTAACCTTACATTTTGGGATAAACATTTCAGCGGTAGTAAGAAATACATCTTTCCATTTTTCCCAACATTGGTCGATATCATCACAGTCGAGTAGCATTTCAAATGGTGTGTGCGCAAGAGTTTCTCTTAACCCATCGAAATCAGCCTTTTTAAAATTATACACAGAACGTGAAAATTTTGTTCGCTTCACAGTTGTCTTAAGGAAGAATGAAATTCCAAGATGATCGGTATTCAGTTGACAATCGAATGTTGAAAGACCGTAAAGCTGATCCGGCAGATTTGTAAAAACTAAATCCAAAATGTTGCTTGTTGAGTCAGAAACCCTTGTCGGAGAATAATTCATCTGACTAAAAAAAGCATCGTTTATCATGTCGCAGAAAATATTGGGTAAGTTGTCACACCCAGGTGCTACTTGCAGTTCCCAATCAATTTCAGGAAAATTAAAATCGCCACATAATATAACAGGAGTACCGTCTCTCACAATATTCTCGAGGGAATTACCAAAATTCATTAAATATTCATTTTTGCTCGAGGGAGGTCTATAGAAACCGCATATAATTAGCTTCATACCTTTGGAAATATGTATTTCACACACCACAATTTCACAATTCGATTCTAGCTCTTTGCGTCGCTTAGATTCAATCTCATTTTTTATTGCAATTAATACCCCTCCGCCTCTTTTGCCATCTTGTCTGTCACAGCGATATATATCATAGCCATTCGGTAATATTTCTTTATTTAGCACCGAGGGAGTCAGCCAGGACTCGCTCACAACAACAACATCACAATCGCTCGTGTACACCATTGACTGAAAGTCGCGAAATTTGTTGTTTAGACTTCGAGCATTGATTGTTAAGACCAATAAAGTGTGCCGACCTTTACCCGAACGTCTGGGATTGGATACTGGTCCTGGATGAGGATGAATATCGCCACTTAATTCAAGAACCAATATACATGGGTTGAACGAAGCAGAACTGTGCGAGTAATACCTTATTCGTCGTCGAAGGAACTTTCTACCATAAATCTTTGCCTTTATAACCCTTATAACCACTATGAACTCCGTCCATGTAAGGAGTATCATATAAAATCTCCGAGGTGTATACACAAAACATAAGAGGGAGAAAGTATAACATAAATACGGAGCACAAAAGTCTACGTGTGTCCGCCATCATTATGTTTAAAAATGAAATTCTATATAATAAAGTCAGTCTACTACTTTGAATAAAAAGACGATGGTGAACCATCCAGGTACGAATATCATCAACGCAATCTTCGATAGCTCTGACTGCTGGGTCATTAAGTTTGCTTTAAGCAAACATTCAGGATAGGTAGTTCCAGGAAAAATAATTTTTAAAGCCCTTTTTTGGATTTTTTCGACTTGATCACACATGTACTGAGGAAGACCATAATGCCACACCTGACAAGCATATTTCACAATTGGTCGAATATGTGTGCAATAGGTTGAGATCAGGATATGAGAAGGTAAAGCATTTCTTTTAAGAAGGCGCAGACCATACAAACGCTTCGCGGCTTTCTTGCAAATGTAGTCAATATCGCGGTTCCATTTACGATCGTCTGAAAGAACAACACCCAATAATTTTGCCTCGGAACCACTTCTTAGCATTACCAATCACACCAAAATCATTTACGAGAATATCCAGCAAAATCCTATGGTCTATGGTGTCAAAAGTCGCGTTGAGATCAAGCATCACAAGTAGTACGACCTCTTGATTATCCATGTTACTAAGGATATCACTTTGTACTTCGAGAACGGCAGTTTCCGTAGAATGAAACTGGCGATAGGCTGATTGATTAACAGGCAATGGAGCATTAACATTGCAATGATTTAACAATTGACCCACCACTTCCTTTTCAGTTAACTTGGCGACAAAAAAGGAGATTGCTTACAGGTCTAAAATTCTCAAACAGCAATTCCAGAGCGAGCTTCTTAAGCAGGGGCAATACAAGTGCAGATATCCAAATTTCAGGAACTATCCCTTCCACCTAAGATAGTTTATCATACGAGTGATAATCGGAAGCAAAACATCACAGCAACTCTTAAGCAACCAAGTGGGTATTGGATCTAGCTGACAAGAGGTATTCGAAGATGACATGATAATGTTCGATGCTACATCATCTGAGACCGGAGAGAAAGATTCAAACTTCACATCCGCAAAGCTATGTTCAACCACAAGAGGGACAGCATCTATTTGATCAATCTTCTCGTTTATAGGTTCAATCTTACGATAGAAAAATTGTCCAAAGTTCTCAGCTAAGGTGCACCGATCTTCATAAGGTGGCAATGCTTTAAAAATGTTTTTAGACAGCGAGTTGACAATACGAAATAATTTCTTAGGATTTCCTGCGCATTGGTTAATCATATCAGTGTAGAAGATACCTTAGCTTTCTGAAGAAGAGCACTACATCCGTCCCTAATTTTACGATATACTTCTTTATCAGTCATAAGTCCAGACTGAAGCATTTTCCTTTCTCGTTTCCGACGTTCAGCTTTGAGCTTTTTAAGGTCATCAGTGAACCACGGTATCTTAGGTCCATCAATTAATTTCATCGTCTTTAAAGGTGCATGCTTGTTAAGAATTTCTAACAAAGATTCGTTATAACAGTTCGCAAGTTCATCTATATTAGTCCAATATTTATTATATATACAAGTCAGATGAGGACATGTCGCTTTTAAACGCCTGGTGATCAATTTGCTTGAAATTTCCTTAACAATTAAATTGAGCCTAGAAATGGCTATCTTATATTCGATAGTTATATGATCAGACAGAGCCAGAGTTGGTTTGATCTCGGAAATTAGCACGTCATTAACTGACCTCGTGATTATAAGATCAAGACTATGTCCTGAGTTATGAGTGGAAAAAGTAACATGTTGAGTGAGACCAAATGTTTCCAAGACGTTACAGAACTTCTTAGTGTTATTATCTTTAGCGGAATCCAGATGGAAATTGGAGTCGCCCGAAGTAAGTAACAGCTCAGTTGACGTTACAACGCTTTCGAGATAGATGGAAAATTCCTCAAAGAACAAGCCAGAAGGTATATAAAGTGCAGTCGACGAAGGCGCGGGGGCGATAAACAGCAACCAATTTGATAACACGACTCATTAAGGTAATATTCCATGCAGATAATTCAAAAGATCTCTACTCACTAGCATCAACCAGTTTAGTCCTCATCATGCTCTTGAACATTAGTCCGAGACCCCCACCAGATCTGCGCCAGAGCTGGCAGCCTTCTGCCACAAAAGCATGTGAATC